CACACTCTCTCTCTCTCTCTCTCTCTCTCTCTCACACACACACACACACACACACACACACACACACACACACATACACACACACATACATTCTCCTGTCCATTGATGGGGAGCGCTACCTGCTGGAAGCTGGGTCCAGCGTCCCATGAACATCGTGAATAAAGTACTAACCGGGACCCCACACACACACTCTCTTCGATTTGTGTAAAGCGAACATGACAAAACATACATACAACATAATCACTACTTTACTCTTCCCGAACCACATAAACAAACGAACTACGGGCTGCGCATCCGTGCCCTCACGGTAAGTCAATAGCATTTTGGCGGCGGGCGACCAGGACGCAAAGTGGGTTCTTAGGGGGTAACAAAATTTGGGGGACCGGTCCTAGGCAAAATTGCGGACTACCTACAACTAGCTCTGGTAGAACCGGGACTTTTGGAAAAAGGAAAGACCGGTCCGCGGGTGGAAGTGGACCCCAAAAAGAAGTGGGGGGCGTTGGACCCATCCTCGGGCAGAAGCGCACCCCAAAAAGAAGTGCGGGCTTGCGAACTGCAAAAGGGCCCTCAGGCCCAGGCGTTGAGGCCCGTCTTCTCAAAACAGGGACGTCAGGCTCAACGAAACAGGCGTTTTGCAAGCGGCAACTTTGGAGATTTTTTGTGCTCGGAGTCTCGGATGAACCCACAGAAAATCTGATATTTTGAGAACCCATAGATGAGGTCGTGTTCTTTCCAGGAATAATATTATAACATTTTCAAAAAATCGCTTAGACTGTGAAATAATCGTCACGCCGATTCGGCACATTTTCCATTTTTGCCACTCAGCCATGTGTGGGCCAACTAAAAAAGTACTATAAATTCAGTGAGTTTTTGCGCTCAAAAGAATGAGTGAGAAAACCTGAAAATTGGAGTACTCATAGAATTTGTTGTGATCTTTCTAGGGAAGACGCTCAATATTTTTTAAAAATTTATTCCTACTGTGAAATAGATTGCAGCCGCAATTCTACCCATATTTCAATTTTGCCATTCAGCCTCTCTCTCTCTCTCTCTCTCTCTCTCTCTGTGTGTGTGTGTGTGTGTGTGTGTGTGTGTGTGTGTGTGTGTGTGTGTGTGTGTGTGTGTGTGTNTCTCTCTCTCTCTCTCTCTCTCTCTCTGTGTGTGTGTGTGTGTGTGTGTGTGTGTGTGTGTGTGTGTGTGTGTGTGTGTGTGTCTTGTGCGAGCTCTTAGTCCTATTTCTTTGGCTACCTTAGGGCTGCGTTCCCCGCGCCCACACGGTAGACAATTGTTGTTGTTGTTGTTTACTACACTATATCTTTCAAATTCTTTTAATTCACCTTGACTACCTACCTACCACTACTCCTAAGGCTTAGACAGGGGAACCCTGCAGACACAGCTTTGTTGTCTCCCTCCAGCCAGGGGAATCATGTTGCCCCCCGCCCCAACCATGGTGGTCAAGGATGGGGTGGGGCCGCTGGTGGGGGTCCGGCTAACGCAAAGACCGAACATTTTGCCAGTAGCTGCGCCTCCCTTTTCATCGTCCCCCACCCCCAACTGAATAACAGCAGTGTGTAAGGCGAACACTCTCCCACACACCACACGACCCACTCAGACTCACACTCACACTCACACTCACACCCGTGTTGGCCAAGGACCCTGCTAATACCGATCAGAGGTATCAAGCCGACTATCACAGCCCATTGGCACTAAGTGCGCCGCAGGACCCGTTTTCCACTCTACCCACATCTTTAAGGGGCATTTTGGCATATACCTCAACTTATGGGGGTATTTTGCAAATCATCCCATAAATAAATAGATTCCAGCCCCATGGCTACTACATATATACTCGGTCTTTGTGTTAGCCAGACCCCCACTGGCGGCCCCAACCCTATACCCTAACCATTAGGGGCAAGGGGCAACATGAAATCTCCCCTTCACAGAGAGAGGAAAACTATGCTTGCAGGGGTCCCCTCTAGATAGTCTTAGGAGTAGGTAATGGAAGGTAAAGAAACAGAAGTTGAGAGAAGAGTGTAGAAAGAACAGAAAAAAAAAAACAAAAAACAAATATACTCATATTATGTCATATAGCTTTTTTTTTTTTTTTTTTTTTTTTTTAAGCTGCCTTCTCCTCATTGGGGGACAGCCATATATTTTTCTCTCACCTCACATATCTCATGTCATGGAACATATCTTTCTTTGCACTACCTACCACTACTCCTAAGGCTATACAGGGGACCCCTGCAAGCATAGCTTTCTACCTCTTGGGAACCTGCAATTCTATCCCTTTTTTTTTATTCTTTTGTTTTTTGTCTTTTTGAAAACCTTCATGTGTGGGAGAGCAGCCTCGTTAAGAGGGCCCCGACGTTGAAGGCTCCATCTATTGGTGGGGAGCTGCACCTGCTGGAAATGGGGTCCAGCGTCCCTATACAACGATATGATGAGTGACAGCTGGAAAACGCGTCCAGCGTCCCTATACTATGCTATGCTATGATTTGTGGAGATGTTTTAGTGTGCATCTAATACTATTTGCTTACGTTCATAGTATCTGTATATGTCATATGATAGCTTTGTGATTGGGACCCTGGACCCCTTGTACATATGACATTTACAGATAGTGAACATAAAGACTTATGATAGCTTTGGGATGGAGGCGCTCAACCACTCCCCACCAATACAACGGAGTCAGCTTTGTCAGAAGAAAGAAATTGTCACAAAAAAGAAAAACCCCCTCATGCCGAATAGGATGTGCGCTCAGCGCCGGCAGGTCGCACCCCTCCCCATCGACAAGGGGGTATATATAAGGCCCCGCTACTGACAGATTATCTTTTCCCCCTTTTTTTTGTGGGACTACCCTCCTGACGGATAAAGGCATGCTCACAATAGAACCCCCTTCACGAATGTATCAGGAAACTGTGGGTAAATTCAGTCGAAACTTCCTGCAGTAGAGTACCCGGGTCAACATGCCCTGGCTTGTGGTGGACATTGGCTACAGTAGATGCGGAGCGAGTGATCTGATGTAACCGTAATGGCGGTTACGTGCATGCAGACGAGTACTCTAGCGTAATGGCCGTCACGTGCATGCAGAGGAGTACTGTAGCGTACTGGCGGTCACGTGCATGCAGGGCAGTTATAGCTAGAGTACGTCCACTTTTCCCGTAGCAGCCAGAGTACATCCACTTTTCACCGCTGGCAAAGCCCCAAGAGCCTTCCAGGCCGAGGGAAAATGCTCTTATGAGCCCACAAAAAGGGTGATAGACATAAATCGAGAAATGGTCCACATTGTCTGTCCTGCCCATGCAGAGAACGAGGGAAGGCAACGAGGAGGATGGCGAGCACGGAATGGCGCATTGGGAGAGAAGATAGGCACACACGACACACGACACACACACACACACAAAAGGCCTGACATGCATAGTGTGTCGCGAAGAGAGAGGGGAAGAGTGTAGCGGGGGCAAAGATACATCAAGAGAGAGAGAGAGAGAGAGAGAGAGAGAGAGAGAGAGAGAGAGAGAGAG